CAGAGCTTTTTGATTCGGTCAGCCAGAGAGGAGATAAGGGTCCGTTTTACACATTGTGGATGAGCTGATTCAAAATGTTAAAGTTTATCCGAATTGAAAACACTCTGAAACGCCATCTCGTGAAAGCTAAAGATCCGCTCGAATTGCAAGATCAAAACAACTGCATTTACAAAATCAGTTGTAAAGAATGCCCCGCAGAATACATTGGACAAACCAGCAGACAACTCAAGACAAGAATAACCGAACACAAGAGAAAAGAAAAACATCGACCGACGGACCAAGCAACTCTGGCAAAACTAGAACGAGACTCAGCGATCGCTCTTCACGCCATAGCCGAAGGTCACACTATAGACTACGACAACCGAAAAATACTCCAAATCGGATTTCGAACATGCACTGAACGCTCGTATGCCGAAGCTTTGGCCATCAACAACCACTCTGCATTGGTCAACAGAAATGACGGAATCGACATCCCGAACATCCCTAACGCGCAATGACGACAAAGGTCACGGTGCCACTTGACCCCATTTGATAATTGGAGTTAGTATGACGGACAACGAATCACTCAGTCCACCACACACACACGCACACACACACACACAGACGGACAAACATACACACGATGAGATATCCGTTAACTTGTGATCCTTTCCTCTGAATCATTTGATTGTAAAAGACCTGCCTTGAGAAAGGTTACCCACGGTAACCGAAACGCCGGCGAATATAACTCTCTACCGACATCGCTGTGTTATTAACACTATAACATTCACAACAAGGTTGATTTGTTGATGTTAGCACAGTAGGACGCTGGTATGGGCCATGTCTGCTTCACTGCCGAGTCTTTCCTGATAGTGCACCACCTAGTCGATCAAGAGAAATCACTTTCAGTGATCTGTATTGAAGATCATGTCAAAATACTCAAGATCACTGAGGTGATCGTAATCCTATGGTGGAAACCCCCTTTGTATCTACAAAAAAGCTTGTTCATTACTGTGGATTTTCATCGGTGACCCCTTACTCATTCGTATCGTTGTTTGGTTGTAATCTTGAACTTCCATTTATATAAACATTGCATTTGTCTACAGCAAGCACCAGTTGAGACGTAGCGAAATAGTCCGTGACATAAATCGTGCAACTTTGCTATTCTGGCTTCGCTTTTCAAATCTATCAGGCAGATAGCTTGTTTCGGTATTTTTGTTTGTAGACGCATCAGGTCATCCCGACTGGACGAGCATTCTGATAGACCTGGTCCAACAACAAACGTGTGACGGCCAAAGCTCCGATTCATTTATGAGGTTGTTAGTAGAAAGCGAGTGGTAGGTTCACTCGAAAGTACAGCAGATTCCCTGCAGTAACCACAAATTATTATATCAGCTATTCTAATTTCGTGTTCTAGTTTGTGCGACTGTATGATTTTCAGCTTTTGATACCTAACATTGTCGCAATTAAAACTGTTGACTGTGGCCATCTGAAATGGTATTTCAGCCAGTCATACAATTTTCGTTCACGTGACTATATTGGCTCTGTTTACAACCAGAATGTGGTGATCGCTCATGAACTATGAACTCTTTTGTTTTATTGAGCACGATATCCTTGTACATTCCAGATTTCAGTTTATTACAGTTCTATTGAAATCTGTGTTCTGATTTCATTTCGAGTCCTAGTTCTAGGTTGGGCTATTACTGCGCAGATTTCGATACGTACACGAAACACCAGTCCGAGTGCTAACTACGACACCGGATCAATCTCTAAACTTGCCAAGTACGATATCAGGAAGAGATTTGGATTATTAAATCGTATTATTTAGTTATAACTGGCTTAAGAGTGTCTGTCTAGATTTTCGGTTTTGAGGAAGCTGTCACAGGCAAGAAAAGGAAAAATTGAAAAAAATAGTATTAGCACCAAGGCTTCAAATATCAATTTTTAGAGTATCAAGCTCGGATTAGCCCATTCGATTGTTCAGAGGCACCAAGCAACCTTGATGGTCTTGTGTGTGTTTTCACTCACAAGGATTGAAACCCCACACCCAAGACCATCAAGGGTGCCTGATGCTTCTGAACAATCGAATGGGCTAATCCGAGCTTGATACTCTAAAATTGATTGAGCCATTCGCACAAGGTGACGGCCGTCGACAGTGTAGCTCAGGGGTAAGGGTTTGAAGTCCCAAGCCGAAGGTTCGCGGTTGGAGTCCTGACAGGGACAGAAACAGTGGGCACTGCTGTTGAGTCCGAAACAGGACGAAACAGCTGTCCAATGCTCTTTGTCGGTCATCACAAACATTTCTATCACATTTAAATTCTTCAATATCAAGTTTCTTTAAAGGTTCCCTTAACCTCACCCTTGTGGCTAACAGTTTGTGTTAAGCAAGAAACTGTTGAGTTTTATACAGCGATTCGAACGGGGGAGACGACGGTAAGTAGTTCGAGTAAATGTGTGAGTGGTGTTTCAAAAGATCTGCATGCAGAAGATGAGTTAGATTGTAGAGACTTGAATCAGGGAAAGAGGCAAAAGTTTGGGCACTAAACCACTAAAAGACAATTTGGAACTGTTACCCATCCAGGATAGCTCGCGACGGGATTACGCGATGTATTTTTTTTAATCTGGGGTATACCACTCGGAAACAAAATGGACTTTCTGAAAGCGTAGCGTTAGTTAACAAGAAGGATATACCCATTTGTTACGCACCCAAATGTCTCAGCCTATGAGCCTGAAAGGATACGGGACACTTTACAAAAGTCATTTGTTGCGGTTAGCACTCGGACTAGTGTTTCGTATACGTATCAGATTCCGCGCAGTAATAGTCCAACGCAGAACTAGGACTCGAAGCGAAATCAGAACACAAAACTCAACGACAAAATGGAACTGTAATAAGCGGAAGTTTGGAATGTACAAGGATATCGTGTTTGAAAAAACAAAGGACTTCATAGTTCATGACCAATCACCACATATTTTCAATGTGTTCGATCCATAGAAGATTGCTCTTACTTATACCTCCTGCTATGATCTCAATTCTGTAAAATGAATGAGAAAAAAGTGCTTGTGGAATATCACGGACACTGTTGAGAGGAATTAAGTGGGCAGATTCATAACATGTGTAAAGTTTTGGACAGAATTTTTCCTGGTTATAACATAATCTAATTTCTCATTATTCTAATGAGCCCTTAAGTGCATTAATCAACAGTCAACACCTACGATGATTCGATCACAACTGTTCTCGCAAAGTTTTGCACATCACGGGACTGAGAGACACGAAATCCCCAAGTAAATTCCGTAAACACAGATGGGTAAAAAGGTAAATTAGTAAAGTTTCTAAACTTATGCAGTAAATTCGAGCTCATAGATCAAGAAAACCCCACTAGCATATTTCTCGGTAAGATCAGGATGAATTTAGTGGAAGGGTGTATATACTTTCCATTACTTCCAGACTTGTGATGAATATTCTTAGCCTTCAGGAACTTTGAGTCTTTGTCACAATAAGGTGAGTCATCAGCCATTGCGAACAACTACACCCATTTCCGTGTCAAACCAGAACAAAGAGATTTGACTCTGCTGATTCTGAGGATGACAAGGTTCCTCGCCTCCTCATGCGTACAAGCAAACAAGTACATCAATCAACTGTTTAGCTATAGCTTGTTTGAAGCATACAAAACAAGCATTTTTCATTAAACGTATCGTTAAGTGAGATGAAACAAAATGCCTTTAATTGCGCCAACACATCAACGCACAGAATAGCAGTGAGTACACAAGCGCACATGCAGGCAGGCAGGCAGGCAGGCAGGCAGGCAGGCAGGCAGGCACACACCTACGCCATCACCTGTTACATATTTTGCTTGGTTTAGTGCAATTCAAAAGCGGATAGCAAAGGGTGACAAGTCATCGAGAAATCAGCAGACCGAATCACGCACGTGATTACCTCATCTATGATTGATTAGGCTGCCGATTTTAGGTGAATGGTTATAAACATTTAAGAGTCATTATCATTCCACGCCCACACACAACGAGCAAGATTCATAAGCCAGAAGGGGGGATGGAATGACAAGTAAATTGTATTTCTAGTACTGGTAAATTCCGCGATGATGAAACCATTTGTTTGTTTTAGGCAGGGTGAAAAAATGATAAGAAACGGGCGGCCTGTAATCAGTATTGTGGTTGATGGGGCTTAAATAGTTCTTTGAAACACGGTTGCTTACTGAAAGAAAATACTGTTGCAAGCTGGCCGTAACTTACGCTATTCACATTGGAAATTCCCAACTAGAATAATGTGATGTGTGACACTGACGTGGAAAATCCTCGTACACTTTAACTGCATTGAATATGCATAGTATACGATTCGAAGAAAGTACGTGTGCTATTCGATTCGAAGTTGTTCTATTTCGGGGATTGGTATTGCGCAAATTCTGGAGCTTCATTTCGAATACTAATCTCAATACTACATTTGGCGTCGCGGCCGGTCTACTCAACAATGAATTCGACTCCACTAGAATCCCTAGATCTTAAATGCAGTGCATGCGATATTGAGGATCGTTTTGAACGTTTTGAGATTTGGTGGTTGACTCATTCAAAGCCTGATGAGGAAAAGAAATCCGCTTTCTTCTTGAATGCTGCCGGTAAAAATGCTTACACACTAATCGAAAACTTGGCTTATCCCTCTCCATCTGTTTCCGTACCGTACGATGATTTAAAATCCCTTCTTATACAGCATGTGAAGTCAACGAACTTTAAAGCTTCATAGAGAGCCAAATTTCATTCAATGTTACGCAATCCGAACCAGGGCATCCGTGAATTTATCTTCGATTTGCTCACTGAAGTTGCAAAGTGTGATTTTGGAGACTTACTGGATATGCAGTTGGGAGACCGGTTGATCGCTGGCATTAACAATACTGTTTTGAAAACTGAACTTCTAAAGCTATCCAATCCGACGTTCAAAGATGTGCGGACACATTGTGAACAATATCAGAACATTCGCGCCGCTACATCATCCATGCCGTCAACCATCGAATCTACAGCCATGTTCAATTCACTCAAAAAATGATATCCACGAAAGCTCATACTACAGCCGGACGTTTCAATCTACCTCACACAATGGCAATTGTGCATCCTGTGGCAAACGTCATTCCAGATTCACATGTCGATTTCGTTATACTTCATGTCACAAGTGTGGCAAAACCGGCCATATTCAGTCGGTCGCAGCACCAAAACTTGTCCCCTAATTCAATCCAAGGACTCAGAAGTGAGTGATATAGACAAACATTTTTCTTCCTTATCTTTGGCAATTACCTTCCATTCCGGTCACATTCGTAAACAACTAATGAGTTCTACTGGTAACTCACTTCATTTCACTTTGGATACTGGTAGTGTGGAATCTCTAATTTCTGTTCATGATCTAAAACGGTTTGCTCCAGATGCTAAACCGCAGCCGTCCACTGTCACCATAAATGGCATCACTGGACACTCATTATCTGTTGTTGGTTCTTGTGAGATATCAGTAAGTGACGAACATTCTAAAAGTGGTACCTGTACATTCATCGTAACCAAGTCTGACCCCTCCATACTAGGCTTGAAAGATATGCAAACATCAAATGTCAATCTCTCTTTGTTAACCTATATCGATGCTGAAAATGAACTGAAAGATTTGATTATTAAATGCTCAAATACCAGTGGTGGCAGTAAAATTCCCCCAGTGAAACCACCAGTTAATGACGATCCATTTTTTCCCCAACGCCAGGTTATTCCATATGGCCTTCGTGAACCTGTCATGAATGCGTTGAACAACTTGTGTTCCAAAAGTGTTATAAAGAAGGTGGCTTCTTCAGCATGGGACACGCCAATCGTCACACCACTCATGTCGGATGGCAAGACCCCCAGAATATGTGGCGACTGCCGAATCACCTTAAATCCAAGACTGTTGAAGCAGACATGTACAACAGTTGAACCAGAGGACATTCTGAATAAGCTAACTGGTTCCAATGTATTTTCCAAGATTGATTTAAAAGATGCATATTTACAAATCCCGTTCGACGAAACCTTAACTACTTTGCGGCTATTAATGCCCCTTTTGGTTTGTACAGATACAAGCTTCTGTCATTCGTTTTATCCATTTTTCCTGCCATATTTCAACAAGTTATGAACGATATTACTAGCGGTCTGATGTTTAAGTATATCAGGATGACATCATTGTTCATGCCCTTGACAAGTCTGTCGTGACCATGATTGTACGAAGAAAAGGAGCAATCCACGAGGACGTTTTCTGTTCATATTTTTCAACTCTGACTCCAACTGTGCTACTTTTTGTTTTACTGAGCACGGTTTTCCGGTCAGGTGTATATAGTAGCTGGGTCCTGTTCAAATCCACGCAACATGTGTGACACGCTTTCGCTCTGCTACTGCATTTGTTGCTTGCTTTGTTTAGCGTCACCTTGGCACGTTTCGGTGCTCTGTAGTACCACGATTCGCCAATAAACGTCTACGACTCCCACGAGTGTTTTTGTCTATTTCGGGAATTCGAGACTCGTAAGAAGACTTACCGGCAGGCCGTCAACTCCGGCTAGCTTCAAGTCCACTCATGACACACAATTGCTTGAACTCTTTCGTAGGTTTTCTGATAAGAATGTTGCTGTTAATCCTAAGAAATGTTTACTTTCTGTCTCTCATGTTGTATATCTTGGATACTGAGTTGATGGAAAAGGCTACAAACCTGACCCGAACCGTCTATTTCCTCTAACAAAAGCCAAATCACCGTCGAACATACAGGAACTCAGATCACTGATTGGAGCCCTATAGTATTACTCCAGATTTATCCCTAATTTCAGTCAGAAAGCTTTATTTCTATTTCTTGTCTCTTCTTCTGGCAAATTTGTTTTGACTGATGTTCATGAACATTGCTTACATGAATTGCTAAATTTTCTGCAGACTGATGCTGTACTTCATCCATTCACTCCCAAACTTCATTCCACTGTTATTACTGATGCATCACCGGATGGAATTGGTGCGATTCTAGAACAGAATGGGCATCCAATTATTTGTCTCACCGCTTGACAGCAGCTGAACGAGGCTATGCTTAAACTCATCGTGAAGCCTTAGTTGTATTTTGGGCAGTCAAGCGCCTCCACAAGTTCCTTTTTGGTCATCATTTCACCATCGTTACCAATCATGAGGCCTTGAAATTCATTTTCGATCCCGGGGAATCCCTTTCCAGAATCTCTGCAGCTATGGTTCAGCGTTGGAGTATCTCACTCAGTGTATATGATTGCACAATTGAACATCGCAGTGCCAAATACATCCGACACGTGGATTACATTTCGCGTCGATCGCTACCCGCTTCGGACCCAGAGGACATTTCTGATTCACTACTAGTACAACATCTTTCTTTGAGCCGCCAAGAGCTTATTCGTGATACACGTCGTTATTTCTCTTCTGTGATGACTGCTTTGCGGAAGGGTCGGAATGCATAGACCCGGAAGCGATTTCCATATCACTATGTTAGGCGTGATGAACTTTCAATTGCGCTTGATGGATTACTGTGCTTGACGACCTACATTCCGGCCATCTTGGGATAGAAAAGATGAAGTCATTGACTAGATTGACTTGTTGGTGGCCGAACGTGGATGCCGACATATGTTCCAAAGCAAAGAGCTGCCCTAAATGCTACCACAAAGCTCGACAGTTGCCATTCAAATTGGTTCCGTGGTCTGTTTCAACTGAAGCTTGGCAACGTGTTCATGCTGATTATTGTAGTCCATTTTTCAATGAAATGTATGCTCTTGCTGTCATTGACTTCTTCTCCAAGTGGCCAGAGGTATTTTTCACTAGGTCGCCCTCATCAGATTCTACTATTCATGCTTTGCATAAAGTTCTCAGTCGAGAGGGTATTCCTGTTGTGCTTGTTATTGATAACGGCAGTTATTTCTCCGCGAAAAGTGTTTCAGAATGGCCATACAGCACTGGCCTCAAACATTTGTTCACTGCTCCTAGACATCCCTGCTCTAATGAACAAGCGGAGCATTCTGTTAGAACACTTAAAAGTGCTATTACTGCTTTGAATCCATCCACATTTTCTGAACTTGAAAGAGGCTTTGATCTGTTTCTTTTACAATATCGTAATTCTGTTCATTTCTCCACTAAAGAAACACCTGCTGAACTTTCAAAAGTAGAAAACTGAGATACGATTTATTGTGTATTAATTCTTCTGAATTTGTATTTTTCCGTGGTAACGACCTAAGACCGTCTTCAGGAATTGTCCTAAAGTCTTTAAGTCGAAGAATGCTCCAACTACTTGACAAGGATGATTTGTCTATACACAGAAGACATGTGGACCAAATTCGCTTTGACAATCCAAATACTGAGCAACTCGATACTATTGATGAACAGAATGTCGAACAACAAGCTGCGACGGAAGAATTACCTGTGAACGAACAAGTACTAGGAAGGTCTGAACGACTGAGTGTGAAGCCACTACTGGAGCACAGAAATCCTGTGGTCAATTCAAGGTGCCGCGAGTGTGATGTGTGACACTGACATCGAAAATTCCTGGTACACTTTAAATTCATTGAATATGCATAGTATGCGATTCGAATAAAGTTCAAGTGCTATTCGATTCGAAGTTGTTCTATTTCGGGGATTGGTGTTACGCAAATTCCGGAGCTCCATTTCGAATACTATTCTATACTACAAATAACCGCATGCAGTTGACTAAAATCAATAGAACTGGAGATATTATGCCTCAACTACTACTAATGCTAACAACGATAACAAAATTTAAGGTAGCATTATTATTATTATTATTATCATTATCTAGGCTGATGGTGATCTAGAGAATCAATCGATCAAAGTTAGTATTTTATCACTTCGAGCGGGTTGAACGGTGACACTTAACGAAATTTTTTTTTATTTCTCTAATTTTCGTTAAGTACCTAGGGTAGTTATCACGCATAACTAAGGGATTGTGTATTATTATTACATTTTAGAAATCGAACTTAGAACTCACATTAGATCCCGAATATATTGTTTACAACTTCTCCAATTTGCGCTAATTTTCTTTTATATTTCCATTTCACATATACCGTTTACCGTCATCAAGTCAGTGAATAAATATCTAGAAGGAACAAGATTATTGAGGAAGTTTACACACAAACACTGATGAACCAGTATTTTGCATTTCTGTTCAATTATTACGTTCTTGTATAATAAATTTGCTGTACTACATTCCTGAACGTTTTATTTGTCGGTATGTATTGGAATGGGGTAAGCCTTGAGCGACCAAACGATTAATCGAAACGATCAAACGGAGAGGTTTAAATGCAGGCCGACTAACTAAATGGGAAGTATATAGCGTATGTTTATCAGCAACAAGCGACGTAGGTATATTATGACCAACGCGGATAGAAGAAAAACGGGGAAAGAAATAAGTGGATAAAAGAGGGTCGTTTCGTGGGTGACGGAATAAACGCGCAAAGAGCTTGTTACAAATTCGCGTTTTATTCGCGAGATTCTGCGCGACAAGTTTACGAGGCAGAACGCGAAAGATCGCGCGTTATACTCGCTTTTTTGCTGGCAGGGATGGGAGCCATGTGAGCTATGTGCCCAGCCTTCGCAAGATGCAAGACTGTAGTAGTTAATCTTAGCTTAGCTCAATATAACGGTTTTTCGGAATACTTTCCTTCCTTTAATGTAGTATTATGTCATTTCCATCTGGTTAAGAGTATGAATAAAAAATGTAACCAGTTATGTGGCATGCCAACGTTTGAAAACCAGCGCAACTTTCAATGGACGCAGAGCATGGTGTGCTATAATAGTAAGCTATCGTTTCATAGATTCCCAGCCGTAGCACAGAAGCATGTGGTTATTTACGCTGAACTAGGTTACCATACCGAGAGCAGTGGGCAGGATATGCCGTGAGGACTAGGTTGACTTTAGGAAACCTAACTACCAGCCCAGTAGAGACGAAAAATAGGCACCTGAAGACAGGCTTGTCTCCTCGACCTTCATTAATGAATGTATTTGAAAAAGTTCTACAACGAGTAAGGTCTTTGAAAT